CTCCGTGAAGATGTGCTGGCTGTCATTTCTGTTAAGCCAGTAACAGAAAACAACTCCTTTTTCATCTCCAGAGACTATTAAGTCCTTAACCGTCGGAGACCAATGCAGTGCTGATATTGTGTGCTGCAAACAAAGCCAAGCCAGATGAGTCTCATCTGTCAATGTACTACAAACCAGTCTAATGTTAAGTCTCATCTGTCAATGTACTACAAACCAGTCTAATGTTAAGTCTCATCTGTCAATGTACTACAAACCAGTCTAATGTTAAGTCTCATCTGTCAATGTACTACAAACCAGTCTAATGTTAAGTCTCATCTGTCAATGTACTACAAACCAGTCTAATGTTAGGCGCATTATAGGCACTTAAGTAATGTACTATAACTCCTTGTATGGTAATATATTCAATCTGAAGTGAGAACTTTTTGTATGTTTTTGAGACACAGTCTTACTCTGTAGTCCAGGATGGCCTGGAAAGAGTGATCCTCTTGCCTCAGTTTCCTGAGTACTAGGAACGCAGTTATGCACCACCATACCTGGCCTTCTGGACACACACCAGGCACACAGGTAAAATACTCATGCACAGACAAAATAAAAGAAAGAAAACAATACATCAAAACTCAGGTCATCAGGCTTACATGACAAGCACTTTGACCTGGAAGGTCATCTTATCTGCCCAGGTGTTTATTTTATATAAACTTATTGACTCTGTTACATTTTGTAAGCATGCTATCATTTTACCTCAACTCTGTTGTTGTTTCATGAAAGCAGCCACAGATAAGAATTAGTGGCCGGGCTGGGCGGTGGTGGCACACGCCCCTTAATCCCAGCACTCGGGAGGCAGAGGCAGGCGGATCTCTGTGAGTTCGAGACCAGCCTGGTCTACAAGAGCTAGTTCCAGGACAGCCTCCAAAGCCACAGAGAAACCCTGTCTCGAAAAACCAAAAAAAAAAAAAGAATTAGTGGCCGGGGCTGGTGATATGGCTCAGAGGTTAAGAGCACTGGCTGCTCTTCCAGAGGTCCTGAGTTCAATTCCCAGCAACCACATGGTGGGTGGCTCGAAACCATCTGTATTGAGATCTGGTGCCCTCTTCTGGCATGGAGGCATATGTGCAGGCAGGACACTGTATACATAATAAATAAATAAAATCTTTAAATAAAAAAAAAAAAAAAAGAATTAGTGGCCAAGGGCTAGAGAGATGGCTCGGTGGTTAAAGACACTGGATGGTCTTCCAGAGGACCTGGGTTTGATTTCTAGAACTCACATAGAAAAACTACCAAAATACATAAAAGACTCAGTGACTACATGTAGTCACACTTTAGTATTACTTTCATAAATAGACAGCATAGTTAACTTGTGATCTGTCCCCCCCCCATTTCCTGTAGACCAGGCTGGCCTTGAAACCCTTGAAATGCCTCCATTTCCCAAGTGCTAGAATTATAGATATGCACCACCCTGCCTGTTTATACAGTTCTAAGGGTTAAGCCCAGGGTTTTGTGAATGCTAGGCAAGTACTCTACTGAGTTACATTCCCTCCCTTAAACTCTGCTCTGTAAAATAAATAAATAGATACACAGATGATAGATAGATAGATAGATAGATAGATAGATAGATAGATAGATAGATGCAACTTAAAAGGTTTTGGAAGACCTTCCCGCATCTCTAACTAATGAACATAAAGTACTAACATTCCTTCACAAGGATGAGACATATTAAAACACTCTGAGGACTCAGGATGAACATTACCTGATGGAGTGAGTGCTCTGTCACCACTGCCTTGGTCTCTACATCCCAGATTTTCACAGTCCCATCATCTGAGCTGGTGGCACAGAGGTTGTATTGTCCAGGGTGATGAGAAAAAGTGAAGCCAGATACTCTTTCAGTGTGTCCCACCAACTCTCCTACAACTGCAAGTAAAACCAGACTTGTTAACTAAACCACTATGCAATCAGACAGTTTGCTGCTGGATGAACAAGCAGATGAACAGGAGTCACTTAACACAGTGGAACAAAACCATCCATAGACTGACAACAGAAATGCCAGGTGCCAGTATTCGGGACCTTCACACAAGTTCATTTTCTTTCTTTTTTCTTAAAACATCTATTTATTACTTATACAGTGTTCTGTCTGCATGTGTCCTTGGAGGCCAAAAGAGGGCTGGAGATCTCATTACAGATGGTTGTGAGTAGCCATGTGGTTGCTGGGAATTGAACTCAGGTCATCTGGAAGAGCAGTCAGTGCTCTTAACTACTGAGCCATCTCTCCAGCACCACGGATTCATTTTCTTTGAACCTCAGTGCTCTCATCTATAACGTAATGTTCACGTCCTTTGTTGGGCCAAGTTTACAGGCCAAGGGCCAGTCTTAGTCCACAGGTGAACGTGAAAGCCATTTTTTCTTAATCTTGCCATTGGTCATAAGGAATAGAGTAAGTTGGTATTTCATAACACAACGCATCGTCAAACCCTGGTTTTTGTTTGCTTCATTTTCTTCTGAATCAGGATCTTGCTATGGAGCCGTGGTTGGCCGATAATTCACTTTTGTACTCTAGGCTGGTTTTGAACCCGCGGCAATCCTCCAGCCTTAGCCTCTCGAGTAGTTGGGATCACAGACAAGCATCATCGCATCTGGCGCAAATTCAGACTCACCCCATTCATCCAACAGAAATTAGCATCCCGTAATTACCCAGCGGGAGCAGGTTACCGAGAACAGCCCCCAACCCTAGTGGAGGGATCCCAGGGGCCGGCGGGGCCTTGGCAAGGGAAGAAGGCCGGGAGAGCGGGAAACGCCGTGTCTAGCCTAGGTCAGCCCCTCTGAGAGTAATGGTTCCACGTGCGACCGCGGTACAACCCCCCCAGAGGGCACGGCGGAAAGGACTGCGCCGGCCCGTCGGGGGCTCACCTCGAAACGGGGGCGCCCCTGGGCTCGTGCCGGCGCCCGGGCCCACGCGGACGAGGAAGACGGAGGTCCGCGCAGCAAAGCCAAAGATGCCTCCAGGCGCCGCGTCACTGCAGCGCGCGCAGTACCAATTAGGGGACGGCGGCAGCGTCCGCGGCTCTGGTTTCATCTCCGCGGCCGCCGAGGCTCAGACGAGCAGCTACGGGTGGTGTGGTTCGCAACCGCGGCGTGTAGCGGGAGGGGGCGGGGCTGGGACCAAGTTGAGCCCCGCCCCTGAAGGCGGGCGCTACGGAGCGCGCCAGGGTCCAAGCCGCGCTCTCGCTCTCGTGCGCCTCCCGGTACTAAATTCAGGGCCCCAAGGTTAAGCATTTTCCTTAATTAAGGGGTTAGACTGATGCAACCAGCCAAACAGCCACTGAGATTTAGTTTTCAGGGTAGTTCAGTAATCTCAATCCAGTATTATTATTATTTTTTAAAAAGATACATAGCGGTGTACTTTGCTAGTTTGGGGAGGTGGGGTTTTTATTTTTTCCTTCCAAGAAAGGGTTTCTCTGACGGTTGCAACATTGTATTAAACCGGTTGGTGGTGGCGCTGGTTTTTTTTTTTTTTTTTTTTTTTTGGTTTTACGAGACAGGGTTTCTCTGCACTGTTTTGGATGTGGCGCTGGTTTTTAATCCCAGTACTCGGAAGGCAGAAGCAGGCGGATCTCTGTCAAGGCCAGCCTGATCTACAGAGCGAGTTTCAGGATAGGCTCCAAAGCTATACGGAGAAATCCTATCTCGAAAAACAAAATCAAACAAACAAACAAACAAAAACAATGTATTTAACTAAATACTAAGACAATGAATCGGATCTGTGACGTAAATCCCAACACTTGGGAAGCTGAGGTAGGAGGATTGTCGTGAGCCTGGGCTGTACTGTGAGAACCTGTTAAAATAAATACAATCAGTCAGGAAGGAAGGGCTTCTGCAGTTGGGTGGGAATTCTGACTCTGGGTTCTTGGTATTCAAAGATTAAAGAACCAAGCTTCGGCGTGCCTCCTCCTCCTTATAGGAGTGCCAATGCTGTGGAGAGAACTGAGTGTGGCTAGTGGTGTGGAAGTGAGAAGAATGGGCGTCTCCTTACAGCTCAGACGTGAGCAGCATGCTCTAATTCTGCTCTGCCTGTATTACCATTTGCCCTTCCCGAATGCGGCCTATGAAAACTTCCAACGGCTGTCATTAACAGCTCTGTAAGACATAACTCTAATATGACCCAAGGGCACTAAATTTAGAGGCACCCAGCCCCACATTGATCACTAGTTTTGCCAGTAGCTCAGATCAAATCTGTCTCAAATGTTTCTCTCTTGCTGGGTTGCTGAACAAAATAAGGAGATGTAGTAAAATGCAGGACAGCCAAGACTACACCGAGAAACCCTACCTCGGAAAACCAAAACAAACAAACAAAACAACAAACAAAAACCCTTGTCTTCCGAGCCGGGTGTTGGTGGCACACGCCTTTAATCCCAGCACTTGGGAGGCAGAGGCAGGCGGATCTCTGTGAGTCTACAAGAGCTAGTTCCAGGACAGCCTCCAAAGCCACAGAGAAACCCTGTCTCGAAAAACCAAAAACATGTCTTCCTCCTATCCAATACTGACCTCTTGAACCCCGTAGACAGCTCGTGTACATGAATTTAAAAGGCTTGCTTTAATTAATTGCTTGATTTTTAATGTTTTTTTTTTCAAGACAGGGTTTTCTCTGTGTAACAGTCCTGGCTGGCCTGGAACTCACTTTGTAGACCAGGAGGCCTGAAACTCACTGAGATTCACCTGCCTCTGCCTTCCAAGTGCTGGGATTAAAGGCGTTCCCACCACTGCCTGGCAATTAATTGCTTAATTAATTTGGCCATGATGATTTGGGTTTGTGGTCTTTTTCCTTGTATCTTTGGCCTTGAATCTTTGGGATTAACAGGTTCGCCTGCTCCTTCAGTCTGTTTATTGGTGAGACCACAATTTTTCTGAATCCAGGTGAATTTCCGGAAAACCATTTTTCAGTCTTTATGAGGTCATTCACTCTAAAGCAAGGTTGGTCTGCTTAGAGTTTATGCCTGGACCATGCGTTCTAGGTCTCCATGACAACGCATTCAGAATTTCCGGGTTGGGGCTGGCCCCGGACTACGCATGCGTGCAGTCAGTCGGTGTTGGAACTCCGGGGCTTCCGTAGAGCCAAACATGGCCGCTGCAGTGCTGCGAGAGTTGGGTAAGGCTAAAAGGGCTTTCCTAGACTTTGGGGACGGGGAGACAGTGAGAATCAGAGTTGACAGCTCGTATTCATGTTGCAGGTGCACTGTGGGTACCTAACCTGAGGACCTGGGCAACGCAGACGCTGCGGTAAGTCTCCCGCCGCGGAGATTGTAGCGGCTCAGCTGTGCCGTGTTCGCATCCCTGACCGGGCGCTTGTGTGCCTGGCTGTGCTCTAGGCCTCGGGTAGGACGGCCGCACTGCCCGAGACTGTGCATTGAAACCCCGTGAGGACTGTTGCTCCCGGGGGCTCCTCTCAGTGTTTTGTGAACAGCCTCTTCTTATTTTCTGGCGGCGATTCGACTCTTCCACGTCGTGTGGTATACCAGCAAACATTCTAGTTACTCCTCGGATTACTTGCGTGGGCAAGGACTGTTTGGAGACTCGAGGTTTGCCTGACCTTGTGCTGAACGCGCCCTCGGTGTTGTCTGAGCCTCAGGCAACTGGAGTTTTGAACCTTTTGCTATGCAGAGCGTTCTAGAGCCTCTCAAGAGAAGCTTTTTATTTTTCTGTTTGTTTGTGAGTCCACGTAGGCCAGGCTGGCCTCCACCTCCTCCCAGTCATAGGTTTGGATCTCAGGCCGTGCAACAATCATGGCAGGAGACAAGCGTTCTTATGTAGAAGTTAAGGAATGTAGTTGAGTTAGCACTGGTGTGGAGCCATAGGGTACTTAGGAAGTTTTGCTTGCATATATGGTTCTTGTAAATTAATTGCTTTGTTTAGAGTATTATTAATTTAATTATGGTAGTTTGATACTTGCTTGATTCAGTTGAAGACCCACTTGAGTCTTGAGAATGTTGTAAGTATTCATAAAACTTTGCCATTAATAATTCATGGCATACTTAATTTACCAAGCATTATATTTAATTTGCCAAATCTGTATTGAGGATTTGAGAAATGGAAGGCACTGCTGCATGAAGGGATGCCAGAAGGCATGTGCCTCACTCTGAAGAAACCTTGTTTAATAGTTTATCATAGTGGTTGCTTAGAAGAAGGATTGAAGTCAGACCAGAGTAGTTCATGGTTCTGTCATCCTGTTGTGAGTGATGATATAAAAAATGTTAGAGGCCTTAGAGACATAATCACATTCTTTCTTACACATATGAAAACCAATCCAAAGAAGTGACAGTGTACCCACTGATTTTTAATGATGCAGAAATGTAAACAATGATGAGTCAAACTGTGAAGAAAGCTGGGTGCTATAAGGTCTAGAGATCAGAGGCATATTTGGAGGGGAGACAGGACAGATGACTGTTTGGTGGGCCTCATTTTCCATACCCCTGGCCATTAGCACCATGCTGTGTTAGACACTGCTGGGTATGGTGCATTAATTAGTCATCCAACAACAACAGAATGAAGTTCATTTTACTCTCGTATTACATAAAATTATACATGAAGTTTACTGAGTCCTTTGAATTAGGTTGAGCATTTTACAAGCAGTATCTCATTTGCTCTGTTTTATTATGGCTTTAAATATATTTAATGGTTTCAATTCCCTGAAGGAAATCACTTTTATTTATGCTAGGGTTGTCCCATTTTGTTTGGCCTGTGGCGCCCAAGTCCCTTTCATGTGCTTCTGTGGTCTGTGCTAGCTTGCTTGGTTTGTGATCTGGCAAACTATTTCTTACCTGTCTTGCATACCATCATTTCTCACATTTTTTGGAAGTCGCTTGCTCACACTACCTCCTTACTAAGTTAATATTTCCTTCATGGATTTCTGAGGGAGTTGAAGACTAGATAGTATAGTTATAGTTTTCCTCATTTACAAGACTCCGAAAAGAAACTTACTGAAGAGATGTAAAATGTAAAAGTCTGAGAGACATTAAAAGATAATTTGATAATGCAAATTAGAATAGAAAGTAAATTAGGTACAAGACTTTGGACTCACCAAGATAGGATAGATAATGGAATATTTTCTCTGGATTTATCAAATGAAAATGGACTAGACATTGTTGATGTATTTGTTGCCTGTATATATTGTATATAGTTATTGTACATGAGTGTTCTTATATTGGTTATAACCTTTTTTTGTAATAGATGAAAAAAGGTAATTGTGGTGATATATTGTGGAGATCAGAATGCAAAGCTAGCCACAGCCATAGAGGCCAGGCAGTAGTGGCACACACCTTTGATACCAGGACTCAGGAGACAGAGGCAAATGGATCTCTGTGAGTTCAAGGCCACCCAAGGGCTACATGAGAGTGAATCAGTCTAAAAGAGAAACAGAGTGCACACCTTTAATCTCAGCACTAGAAAGGTATAAAAGACAGAAGCAGGGTCTCAGAGCTGGTATTCAGTCTTGGGGAATTAGTCTCCAGCCACGTTGAAGACAGGATCGCCCCAGCCTGGGTTAGAGGTATGTAAAGGGAAGCTTTTCCTTGCTAGCCGCTTTGGTTTACCACCCGCCAGTCGCCTGGGCTCTGCCGCGTTGTAGTCCCCAAATAACACACAAGACACTGTATTAATTATGAAGCTGTTGGCCTTGCTTGTTTCTTACTGGCTAGGTCTGACTTAAGTAATTACCCCATAATTGTTAATCTAAGTATTTCTCTTACCGGAGAATAGTTCCGGGCTTCCTACCCCATGGCGTTACATCTCAACTCTCTTGTGTTTCTCCTACCCAGAGTCCTTCTGGACTCCTAGTCCCTCCTATCTAGATTCCCTATTGGCCAGACAGTGCTTTATTGACAAATACACAGGACTTCCCCAACATCTCCTCTTTTCTGTTTAAACAAAATGAAAGGTCTTAACTTTAACATAGTCAAATTGTATATAACAGAACAGTTATCAAGTAAGAACATAGTTACAATATTTTAGCAAGATTTAAAGAAAATATTATCCATCCCATCCTTGTGAGTCCAAAGTTCTATGTAGCTTATCTTTTATCATAACTAAGGAAAACTGTAACTATAACTATCTGTCTTCAACTCCATCAAAGACCACAGAAGGATAATATATAAACACTAGGATTGACAGAGACATCTTACTGCCTGGACAGTCACCTGTTCCTCTGTAACGTTGGGCATCCATCTTCAGCCCATAGGCCACAATGTATCCAGAAGATTTCTCAGCAAAGCAGGAAATTTCAAAACTGTCCATCTGCATTGGCAGTCTGTTAGTCATTTCTCTGTGTCCTGTAGAAAGTCTTGTAGACTCTTCCATGAATCAGGAACCCTGTAAGACTGAGTTCAGCAGTCACTTCCCTGTGGGTTCTGCATGTCCAGTCCATACAGCAACAGTCAGTCTAGGCAAGAGCAGTTTCTTGCCTAAATGGCTAATCTTGCCATGTTGAAAGCAAACTCCATAACGAGTTTCTTCGATGCCCATCTTCCTCTCAGACATAATTGGTGCTGCCAGGAGCAGACATTTCTCATTGTCAAGAAAAGCCCTAAACCATTTTAAATGCCATTTTCTGAAGGTCTGTGAGAGGTTTGAAGACTGTTTATCTATCTCAAATATATTTCTGTATATCTAGAAAACCTAACTTACCTAACTGTAAGTTCTGACTATTATAAGTAACCATCTATAGTCTGTATTCAATTTTGCATTGTGGGGTTTTTTGTTTTTTTGTTTTTGTTTTTGTTTTTTTGTTTTTTTTTTTTTTTTGTTTTTCGAGACAGGGTTTCTCTGTGGCTTTGGAGGCTGTCCTGGAACTCGCTCTGTAGACCAGGCTGGCCTCGAACTTACAGAGATCTGCCTACCTCTGCCTCCCGAGTGCTGGGATTAAAGGCGTGCGCCACCAACGCCCGGCTATGCATTATGTTTTAAAAGAACAGTATAAGCACAATACTTAATCAAGAGGAGAAATATACGCATCACAAAATTGACCTTGAATTTGTATCAATAAATGAAAAACCATACCCATACCATAATTTCCCTTTTTACCATTAAAAGGAGATTGGTTGTGATCATTAATCAATTATAAACAATCCCATATAAATGAAAACAAAGATTTATAAACAAGATGGGAATTAGGACGTCGCTCATTCCAAACTGCTTCATGCTGGAAGGAGGCGCTGTTCATACCATGGGGATCATGACAAAACTCAGAAACCTGTATAAGTCCTTATTTTCAGGGTTTGTAAAGCTGCATCATCTTAGCTGTTTCAGTTGTTGGAACACCTGGTCCACTGCTTCCGGGGGTCTTGGTTCGTCATACCACAGAAGCCTGGAAGGAATCCTCAGCTTTTCATTTTCTGTAGAAACATAAATAAAAACTCCTTTCCCAAGTAATGTATCCTTATACTTAAATTTTGAAGTCAAGGCATTTTCAAAAGATATAAGTTGAATTAATTCAGCTTCCCCAACAGAGGTAAAAGCTCTCTGGTGACCTGGCTGCTTTGCTTTTCTGATCTTCAGCTTGAACCCCTATCTGTCTCTGGGTTTATATTATGCATGCTGCGTGTCTTGCATACTCTCTGCTTAGGATCTCGTGACCAGTCACTTCCTCCAGAGGTTTGGTTCTTTTGATATTCAAGAATATAGTCTGGGTATTAGGGTGCTCATGGCTTCCAGGTAGGTCTTTTACTGTGGGAAATTTCAACCTCCCCCGCCACCAAAACAATGTTACCTGAAGCCACTCTGAAGTCCTCTGGTGTCTTTCCTGTGCTTTAATTTTTTTTGTCTTCTAGTTGTTTCATTTGTTTGTCTTGCCTATTTAGCAAAGTTGGGTAACTCCAACAGGTCAAACAAGGAGTAAGTCCATTATATCTTCTTTCAGTGCTTTTTAGGACTAAATTGTCAGCATTCACCTGTCAGGGCAAAGAGTGTGGGTTAATACCTGCTCCCCATTTTGACTCACACAAGCTGCAACTCTCAACTTAGCCTCCATTTAAATGAACTGCCAGTTGTGAGCCTGAAGTTACCCAAGTGGTGGTGATGCGGCTTTCAACACTCCAGGAAAGTTCCAAATTTCGATCGTCTTACAGACTTCTCTCCTTTCAGAGTCTTACCCCAATCATGTATCCATACAAGTGCTTCTCTTGATGTTTCTCAAAGATGGGAGAAGAAGAATAAAATTGTTTACCCACCACAACTGCCTGGTGAACCTCGGAGACCAGCAGTAAGTTTATGGGTCTTTGGCAACATTTGGGAGTGTCTTAGTGTTTTTATTGTTGTGAAGAGACACCATGGCCATGGCAGCTCTTATAAAGGAAAATATTTCATTGGGACTGGCTTACAGGTTCAGAGGTTTAGTCCATCCATTATCATCATGGTGGAAGCATGGCGGCACACAGGCAGACCTGGTGCTGGAGGGGTCGCTGAGAGCTCTATATACGAATGGGCAGGCAGCAGGAAGAGAGAAAGCCACTGGGCCTGGCTTGAATTTCTGAATCCTCATAGCCTACCCCCATGACACTTCTTCCAACAAGGCCACACCTACTCTAACAAGCCCACACATCCTGACCCTTTGAAATAATGCCCCTCACTCCCTATGAATCTATGGGGGGCATTTTCATCCACACCACCACAGGAGGCATCCATGCTGAACTTGGATTCTTCCCATGACTGGCTTTCCCTTCAGCTTACAGACTTTCAGGTCTTGAGCAAACCGCTTGGCTCGTCAGTTTCAGTTTATAAAAGGATTATAAAATGGTTCCTATCTCCACTCAACTTACTAAAAATTGTGGATTGTTCAGTAGTTACTTGGTTAAAGAATTACAGTTTCTGTTTCTTCCTTGCTAATTTTTTAGCATGAGACTTGGAAGAAAAGCAAATTTTGTATAAAAAGAATCTTCTAGAGTCTTTGTAGTGTTTTGTTTTATTTCCTGTGACAACAGTGTTGTCACTGGGCATAGAGGATGGGAACTAATAGTTATATCACTGTCACTTTGATAGACCTGCTACAACATGTTTTTCTTTTTTTTCCTACTTGCAAGGAAATTTACCATTGTAGGAGACAAATAAAATACAGCAAGGACAAGATGTGGTATCTGGCAAAATTGGTAAGCTAACATGACTATTCCCATATAATATCCAGGAAAAGAAGCTCTGTGTTCCCTCTGAAGACTTGAACATGAGGATTATTAGCTCAATTTTCCTAAAGAGTAGCAAGTGTCATTGTGTGTTCAGTGGCCAGCAGATCATTGAGAGCAACACTGAAGCCAGGGCAGCAGAATAGCACAGATGAAAGTTTCTGTCCCGCCCAGTCCCACAGCCATTTAGTCCCAAATAAACACATAAAGGCTAATAGTAATTATAAACTGGCTGATGGCCAGGCTTCTTACTGGCTAGCTCTCTCTTAATTATAAACCCATTTCTATTAATCTATATATCTCCACGTGGTCTTGACCAGAGAATGCCTGGGTGTCTTAACCTTCCCAGCAGTTAGCTGGTGCCTCCCTGATTCCGCCTGCTACCTTTCTCTATCTCTGTTTGGAGTTCCCGCCTGGCTAAATCCTCCTGTCCTTTGGCGGAAACAGCTTTATTCATCAACCAGTAAGAGAAACATATATTCACAACATACAAAAGGACCTCTCCCATCAGAATAGCCTTTAGCAAGAGGACCCAGGGCACATGCTTGCTCACCTGTAGTAGTTGTAATACCGTGACACAGTAGTCCTTTAGTATTTATTTTGGTGAAGGAGAGAGACCCCAGGACAATTACTTGCCTACCTGCACAAACAGGTTGAACATCATGACACTGTTGGTTGTTGGGCATTCTCCTTGGTGAGGAGAGAGAAATTCAGTAATACAAAACCATTTATCCCATGTGAGGATGAGTGTGGTTGGTATCAGCCTGTCTCTCAGTCATGTCTGCCTTAATAGTTCTGAAACTGTTGTACATAAAAACTGTTGGTTTTGTGCTTACAGCATGTTAGTTTGATTTTAGCTAAAAGACAGGATCCCTTTCAAATCTTCTTTTCTGTTTTGCTTGAGTTTAACTCACAGTTTCTAGAATTCTATTGACTGTGTAAGATTCTTACTGTCATTGAAAGGGAACATTGCTTTTGAGAAGGAGTTTGCTCATTTGCCTATCCCCTTTTAGATACGAGGCATGTCCATCGATCAGGCTTTGGCTCAGTTGGAGTTCAATGATAAAAAGGGAGCTCAGATAATTAAAGAGGTAAGATTTGGTGGCTTGGAGAGATGGGCATGCTACCATCGTTAAGTCTAGATCCGGGATTCCTAAGATATGTGGTGTAAGTGTACTTTTTGTGAGTACAGACTCAGAGCTCCTGGTTTCCTTAAGTTCTTATTCCTGAGAAATAGATGCTTTGCATACAATTTTCCTCGAATGCCTTTCCACACACTAGACACTTTTTTATTGCTGGTGAAATGATTTGGGCCTTATTCTGGAGTGGTGCTAAAGATTAAACTTAGGGCCTAGCATATGCTAGGGACACACTCTACCACTAAACTGCACTTCCATCCCAGACTTGGTATGATTTTGTTTTCCACAAGAGTCTTTTTTGAGGGGTGGTGAGTTAACTTCCACAATGACAATTTTGTATAAGCAGTTGAACTGAAGAAGTCCTGACGGACGGGCCACTCAGGAGACTTGGAAGCTTGTTGTCGCTCATGCTTCCCCTGTGGTCATCAGTTTGTATGTGTACATATGTGGACCCTAGAGTCTCCAACATCTCACTGGACACAGTACTAATGTGTTGAGCACATGACTGTTCACTTTTTAGAAGGCTGGAGTCCCTAACTCAGATTCAGTGTTCATTCCAGTGGTGTGGCCTGGGGTGTGGGCTCTCCTCCTTTCCCTTCCAGAGCCTCCATGGCTCAGCAGGGTGGTGAGCCCTAGCTTAGTTCTGAGGAATGGATACTCACTGTTCCTGTTCCTTGGTACAACCTGCATTTGATGCCTTTTAAAAAAGTTCATTGTGGCTGGGAATGGTGGCACATGCTTTTAATTCTAGCACTCGGGAGGCAGAGACAGGTCAGAGCTACAAAGTAAGCTCTTGCCTAAAAAAAAGAAAGAACGAAAGAAACAAACAAACAAACAAAAAAACCCACCAATAAATAGTAAGTTCACTGCAAAATGAAGGTTTGATTGAGTACATTTTAGACATAACAAAAGATGAGATGTTTAATCCCACTTTTGTTGAGAATCAGCTATCTGAGCAGGCCTTTCTTGTTTAAGGTACTCTTAGAAGCCCAAGACATGGCAGTGAGAGAACATAATGTGGAATTCAGATCCAACTTATATGTAGGTAAGATATTTTCTGTCTTCAACACCAGACATCTTTCACTTGCTGCCAGGTTTGGTGAGAATGGTCTTTGGTGTCTGCACACTTAGGCCAAGTGCCTGATCTGGTAAGGGCTTTGTTTAGCCCTTAGCACCTCGGTGTTACTCTGTCGTGAGTGACAGATATGCTAGCTTCAAGTGGCCGTTCTGAGCGGGACCGTGGGCATGGATTCTCTCACTGGTGCTTATTACACAAGGCTTCTAGGACTGTCTCATGCTGCCACCCTTTAGCCACAACAAAACTAAGAACGACCCCAAATTATGGAATAGATGGATTAATTGTTGGTCACAGTGCACACATCTTTAGTACCAGCACCCAGGAGGCCGAGGTAGGTGGCTCTCTGAGTTCAAGTTCAGCCTGGTCTACATGGTGATTTCCATGACAGCTAGAGCTACATAGAGAGACTGTCTCGGGGTGGGGTTGTTGTGGGGAGGAGGGAAGACAGGTGAGTTGTCTGGTGGAAGGAGATGAGTAAAGGATTTCATGTAAACTTTAAGGGCCTTTTATAATGTGCCTCTGCCATAAGTGACTGAAATGGAGCCTTCTGGTCATCAGGGTGAAAGACCTGCTGGTCTATAAGAGAGACACATACAGGCCAAAACCACTGAATCATCCAATCAATGAGCAGGCAAATGAATTACACAGTTCTTAAGAGAAAAATATAAACTACATGAATAAAGATTCAGCAGCCTGAGTGGGCAGTGAGAGCTTTAAACACTCCTGGTGGGAATATAAATTCGTGCAGCCACTACAGAAATCAGTTTGAAGAGCTCTCAAAAACTAAAACCAGACCAACCGCATGCAAAAGACTTGGAGTCAGCCATGCTATAGACACCTGCACACCCATGTTTACTGGGGCACTGTTGAGATTATCCAAGATATGTACATGTGTGCATGGCACAGTGCATCATAGCTTATACATGTGTACATGGCACAGTATGCACCATAGTTTGTACATGTGTGCATGCACAGTGCACCATAGCTTGTACATGTGTGCATGGCACAGTGCACCATAGCTTGTACATGTGTGCATGGGACAGTATGCACCATAGCTTGTACATGTGTGCATGGTACAGTATGCACCATAGCTTGTACATGTGTACATGGTACAGTATGCACCATAGCTTGTACATGTGTGCATGGCACAGTGCACCATAGCTTGTACATGTGTACATGGCACAGTGCACCATAGCTTGTACATGTGTACATGGCACAGTATGCACCATAGCTTGTACATGTGTGCATGCACAGTGCACCATAGTTTGTACATGTGTGCATGGCACAGTGCACCATAGCTTGTACATGTGTGCATGCACAGTGCACCATAGTTTGTACATGTATGCATGGCACAGTGCACCATAGCTTGTACATGTACAGTATGCACCATAGCTTGTACATGTGTGCATGGCACAGTGCATCATAGCTTATACATGTGTACATGGCACAGTATGCACCATAGTTTGTACATGTGTGCATGCACAGTGCACCATAGCTTGTACATGTGTACATGGCACAGTGCACCATAACTTGTACATGTGTGCATGGTACAGTATGCACCATAGCTTGTACATGTGTACATGGTACAGTGCACCATAGCTTGTACATGTGTGCATGGCACAGTATGCACCATAGCTTGTACATGTGTACATGGCACAGTGCACCATAGCTTGTACATGTGTGCATGGCACAGTGCACCATAGCTTGTACATGTGTGCATGGTACAGTGCACCATAGCTTGTACATGTATACATGGTACAGTATGCACCATAGCTTGTACATGTGTACATGGTACAGTATGCACCATAGCTTGTACATGTGTACATGGTACAGTGCACCATAGCTTGTACATGTGTGCATGGTACAGTGCACCATAGCTTGTACATGTGTGCATGGTACAGTATGCACCATAGCTTGTACATGTGTACATGGTGCAGTGCACCATAGCTTGTACATGTGTACATGGCACAGTGCACCATAGCTTGTACATGTGTGCATGGGACAGTATGCACCATAGCTTGTACATGTGTGCATGGTACAGTATGCACCATAGCTTGTACATGTGTACATGGTACAGTGCACCATAGCTTGTACATGTGTACATGGCACAGTGCACCATAGCTTGTACATGTGTGCATGGGACAGTATGCACCATAGCTTGTACATGTGTGCATGGCACAGTGCACCATAGCTTGTACATGTGTGCATGGGACAGTGCACCATAGCTTGTACATGTGTGCATGGTACAGTATGCACCATAGCTTGTACATGTGTACATGGTACAGTATGCACCATAACTTGTACATGTGTGCATGGCACAGTGCACCATAGCTTGTACATGTGTACATGGCACAGTATGCACCATAGCTTGTACATGTGTGCATGCACAGTGCACCATAGTTTGTACATGTGTGCATGGCACAGTGCACCATAGCTTGTACATGTGTGCATGGCACAGTGCACCATAGCTTGTACATGTGTACATGGCACAGTATGCACCATAGTTTGTACATGTGTGCATGCACAGTGCACCATAGCTTGTACATGTGTGCATGCACAGTGCACCATAGTTTGTACATGTATGCATGGCACAGTGCACCATAGCTTGTACATGTGTACATGGTACAGTATGCACCATAGCTTGTACATGTGTGCATGGCACAGTGCATCATAGCTTATACATGTGTACATGGCACAGTATGCACCATAGTTTGTACATGTGTGCATGCACAGTGCACCATAGCTTGTACATGTGTACATGGCACAGTGCACCATAACTTGTACATGTGTGCATGGTACAGTATGCACCATAGCTTGTACATGTGTACATGGTACAGTGCACCATAGCTTGTACATGTGTGCATGGCACAGTATGCACCATAGCTTGTACATGTGTACATGGCACAGTGCACCATAGCTTGTACATGTGTGCATGCACAGTGCACCATAGCTTGTACATGTGTGCATGGCACAGTGCACCATAGCTTGTACATGTGTGCATGGTACAGTGCACCATAGCTTGTACATGTATACATGGTACAGTATGCACCATAGCTTGTACATGTGTACATGGTACAGTATGCACCATAGCTTGTACATGTGTACATGGTACAGTGCACCATAGCTTGTACATGTGTGCATGGTACAGTGCACCATAGCTTGTACATGTGTGCATGGTACAGTATGCACCATAGCTTGTACATGTGTACATGGTGCAGTGCACCATAGCTTGTACATGTGTACATGGCACAGTGCACCATAGCTTGTACATGTGTGCATGCACAGTGCACCATAGCTTGTACATGTGTACATGGCACAGTATGCACCATAACTTGTACATGTGTGCATGCACAGTGCACCATAGCTTGTACATGTGTGCATGGCACAGTATGCACCATAGCTTGTACATGTGTGCATGGCACAGTGCACCATAGCTTGTACATGTGTACATGGCACAGTATGCACCATAGTTTGTACATGTGTGCATGCACAGTGCACCATAGCTTGTACATGTGTACATGGCACAGTATGCACCATAACTTGTACATGTGTGCATGGCACAGTGCACCATAACTTGTACATGTGTACATGGCACAGTATGCACCATAGCTTGTACATGTGTACATGGCACAGTATGCACCATAGCTTGCTCATGGAGACCAGAAGACAGTTATATGGAATCCTATCACTTTGTACCTTTATGTGGATTCCAAAGGCAAGGTTGTCAGGCTTGCATGACAAGTGCTTTACATACGGAGACATTTTACCAGCACCATTCCTGCCTCTTTTATCTGAGTGTTGGGGCTGGAATTTTCCTTTGCTTGCAGGACCATATACAAACTGTCCCCCCGCTTGTCTCATTTTCTCTTGTGTGCCTCTTACACATGGTAAGTGTCAGCATGCCCCTGGCCATGTACTTGCTGTATAGCTAAGGATGACTTTGAAATCCCGATCTTCCTGCCTTTGTTTCCTGGATTACAGACACTGACACCATTTCTAGTTTCAGAGATGCTTCCACCATCCCAGCAGGCTGTCATGTTGGTCAGATTGGTTTAATTCATGAAACCAGCATTAATGAGGGTGTTACTGTATATTCTGTCCTCCTCCAACATGAATTGTGTGGCAGCAGGGTGCACGCTTCATCTAGTTAGTGCTCAGAGACTTGTGGTTGAGTGAGTGTGCTCTCACCAGCCAGCAAGCTTCTGTGTTCTTAGGATCTAGTGACAGATGGGTCATCTGGTGCAGATGCAGTCCTATGGATAGCAGACATGTCCCATAATTCTCTCTTTCCTCTGTAGCGGAGTCTACCTCAGGCCGAGGCCAGTGCCTGAAGCGCCTCCGTTATCATGGCCGAGGTCGCTTTGGCATCATGGAGAAGGTCTATTGCCACTATTTTGTGAAGCTGGTGGAAGGACCCCCACCCCCACCTGAAGCACCCAAGACTACATTTGACCATGCGAAGGAGTATATTCAGCAACTCCGAAGCCGGACAATCATCCACACTCTGTGATGGTCATTCTATCTCTCTCCACAGTGTTTATATTTTACATTTATTTTAAAAAGTAAAACAAATGGTTTTTATGCTTTGTCATTGAATTATTCAAGTGCATTGTATAACTGCAAGGTTTTGTGTGTGTGTGAGAGAGAGAGAGAGAGAGACAGAGGGAAAGGGAGGGGAGGGAGGGAAAGGCTTATATGCATATGTGGTTGTGCATATCCTTGTGTGCATGTGCAGAGGTCAAAGGATGTTTTTGTTTCATTTTTCAAGATGAGGACTTGAACCAACCTTAGCATTGCATTCTAAAACCAGACAGTAGGTGGCGCTCTCATAGCAGAAATTAATATCAAAGTATTACTGCCTGGCTCTCAAAGATCCCTCCTTTTCCCCCTCCCTCTCTGTCTCCTTCCCTCCCTACCTTCTTCCTCTCTCGTTTTCACTCTCTATCTCCCTCTTCCTCTTCCTCTGTGAAGAATGACTGTTGGGCCTAAAAAAGGCTCGGATGTGAGGCCCAGTGTAACCTCCTGAGCCTGGCTAGAGTTTGGTGACCTGTCTCTCACCTGTAACCTTTACATGGGGGTGACTCAGCCAGACCTGATGTAAGGTTGCCCCCTGACAGTTAAAATAAATTGAGATCATGCTTCAACACACTCTCAACTCAGTGTGTATCTCCCCTCCACCCACGTAACTAGTAGGGGGGAGAGTCTGAATCGTCAACACTCACCATCCCGCCCCCCCCCCAAGAGACCCGCTGGACGGGCCCTTCCCCGCTCTACCTGCTGGAGAACCCGGCAAATGGCCTTAGTATTTTGATGTGGTTGCTTGATCTGTATGTTATTCTTTATAGTAGGAACACTTGAACCAAAATCCTTAATTCCAGGCTCTTCTTTTTTTAAACTTCAGTTTCTCTTCATTGCAACTACTGGCACAGAGCTTGGTAAATGACAAGGTTCATTTACATACTAAGTTTGGGGCCAGGCTAGACAGCATGGTTCAGATAACCACAGTAACAAAACGAGCATGATACTAATTCATGAGAAACCTCAGACCACAGAGCAATTGGACAAGACAGATACTCCAGGATAAACTCTCATCCACAGCGCGCCGTCTTGCGCATGGCAGGCGAATGCTCTACTACTCAGCAACATCCCAGGCACTGCCTAAAACTATTAAAACAGTGAGCAATTGTTAGGAGTGCGTGCTGCTCTTGGAGATGACCTGAGTTTGGTTCCCAGCATTCACATAGGTGGCTCACAACTGCTCTTAACTCAAGCTGTAGGGGTATTAGCACCCTCTTCAGGCCTCTGAGGGTACTTACACTCGAATACATATACATACTTAAAAATAAAATGCATCTTAAGAAAACAATACTTTATAAATTTCTCAATTTCAAACTATCTTTTATAGCTATTCTCTAAGACATTTTTTGAAGTTATATGTACAGACGCTTTTCCAGTGTGTATTATCTGTGTACTGTGTGTATAGTGCCTGCAGAGGTCAGAATTAGGCTTTGGATAGAGTTACAGACAGTTGTGAGCTGCCATGTAGGTGCTGGGAATTGAGCCTGGGTCCTCCTCAAGAGCAGCCAGTGCTCTTAACTGCTGCACTATCTTCAGCCTGCCTACATATTCTCAGCAAAGGTGCCAGAGACAAGAAGAAATGACAGGTAAGTGTGGTGCTAGGGAAACAGGGTGTCCATGCAGAAGAATAAAATGTCCATCTCTCAGCCTGTGCAAAAAGCACCTGGGGCCAGGCATTGGTGGCACACATCTTTGATCCCAGCACTTGGGAGGCAGAGGCAGGCAGATCTCTGTGAGTTTGAAGCCAGCTCTGGTCTACAGAGCAAGTTCCAGGACAGCCTCCAAAACAATACAGAGAAACCCTGTCTCCAAAACAAACAAACAAACAATGCCCAAGTGCAGCTAGAAACACAGTTAGAAAAAAATGTAAAATTCAAGACACTGGTAAGGTGGTTCTGAAAAAGGAATCCACACATGACTTCTGTAATAGTTTCCAGATAGCAGAGCTGTTAGGTGAGCAGAATCTACACACAGAGAGGGAAAGATCCACGTTCACAGAGAACTGCCAGGAAATACCAGTGCCCCAAAGTTAATTGAGAACCAGTGTTGTTAGGACTGCCTTCAGGTCCAGCCCTGTCACTCCTGGGGATACACAGACATGTCTGCACATGACTGACACATACTGTTAACATCTGTGGACAAGAGGAAACAGCTTTTCACATAGGAAGCCAAAGATACCCTGTTTACAGCAAAATGTAAATGCTGAAAGCCCTGTGTTTAGTAATGAGAAATAGACAACTGCGCTTTCTCACACATGGAAACTGAGGAACTGGAAGTAACCACAGGTGTCTGGGAAGGTCAGGCAGGGTGCACTGACCAGCACACATCCTGTCAACAAGTGTGGAAATTGAACTCTGTGTGAATGACGACAAACGGACAGCAGGGTTAAATATATCCAAGTATGTCACAGGCATGCAGACAATGTCTTGAAACCACTTATATAATTAGAGTATGTTAATGCAATTAACAGGAAACTGTACAATTGGTATGCGTCAATAAAATGAAGAGTCGAGTTCTTTCTAAAAATTCTCAGTGGTACACATGATGACATGCAGGGCAGTGAGGCTGTAGAGGACTAGGCAGCTAGCCGCTGAGTTATGGTCGGGGAGCAGGTGGGCACTTCTGGGTGCTGGGCTACAGAGCTCAGAGCTGTGAGCCCCTGCTAGTCTTTGCTCAAAGACGTTTATTTCTGTAACTTCATTCTCGGGATCAACAGGGGGTTTGTTGAGGAAAGTGGGACTATTAGGAATTTCACACTGGATTGCTATGTTGGTGATGGAATAAATAAGGAGGCAGAATAGAACGGGAAGACACTGACACATTAGAAAGTCAGGAAACCACTGCCCCTTCTAGATTAAGATGTGAAAAGAAAGAGCTGCCAGAGTTGAGGGCTTGTGGATTCCTGCCAAAAGCTAGAGCCACGAAGTCTTTCCGTTGTGCTGGGACTCTCAGAGACAGACAGCCTCAGTGTGGGCTGACCTTTCTTGGCAGCCCTCAGGGAAACCACCTAGCCTTGTGCAAAGTCTGCAGCTTCCTCGGTAAAAAGGGTTTTTATAATTGCAGTTATTTCTGTTTAAGAGTTTGTCCATTTTGCCTCCAAGTTTGCCAGCATACACCTACGTGAGCTATTTCCTTCTGTGTCTGCAGTAGTCAGAATAATGCAATATACTCTATCCCCAGAGATACACCTGTATCATCATCCTCAGAACATCAAATGTGTTAGGAATATGCTAGGTTACAAAGGGGATGTAAACCTACTGGTGAAGTTAAAAGTGCACAGTGTGTGCACATTAGGAGAGTTGTCCTGGTTTTTCAGTGATCTCAGAAGTTTTAAAACTGAGGAGAGAGACCCGGTAATGGGGGCCTACGCCTCTGATCCCAGAACTCGGGAAGCAGAGGCAGGTGGATCTCGAGGTCAGCCTGGTCTACAGAGCAAGTTCCAGGACGGGCTCCAAAGTTACACAGAGAAACCCAGTCTTGAAAAACCAAACAAACAAAAGTTGGAAGAGGGAGGCAGAAGGAAAAAGCAGAGGGGTCAGAGAAATGTAGCTTTGCTGGCTTTGAAGAGGGCCAAGGAATTTGAGAAGCTTCTAGAACTCGCAAAGCAGAGACAACATTCTCCTTCAGCCTTGTAGATGTCTAGCCTGCTGTCTTTTTTTTTTTTCTTCCTCCCTTCCCCACTTCCTTTCTTTCTTGAGATAGTAGCACAGGTTAACTTTAAACTACTTGACCTTGAATTTCTGAAATTCTCACTTCCACCTCCCAAGTGTTGGAATCACAGGTGTCTTCTTCTGAGCCCAGTTTATGCAGTGCCAGGGATGGGACCAATTGTTTCATGAGTGCCAGGCAAGCACTCTGACTTCTGGGCTACATTCTCAGCCCAGCCCTGCAGATGGCTTGCTTTTGTTGAATCTGGTGGATTTTTTTTTCCTTTTTCGAAACAGGGTTTCTCCATAGCTTTGGAACCTGTCCTGAAACTGCTTTGTAGACCAGGCTGGCCTTGAACTCACAGAGATCCATCTGCCTCTGCTTCCTGAGTGCTGGGATTAAAGGCGTTCACCACCACTGCCCAGCCTATCTGGATTTCTTCTTTTTTTTTCTTTTTTCTTTCTCTTTCTCTCTCTCTTTTAAATAAAGATTTTGTTTATTTTTATACAGTATTCTGTCTGCATGTATGCCTGCAGGCTAGAAGAGGGTACCAGACCTCATTACACATAATTGTGAGCAATCATGTGGTTGCTGGGTTTTGAACTCAGGAACTCTGGAAGAGCAGTCAGTGCTCTTAACTGATGAGCCATCTCTCTTAGTTGCAGCATCATGATGTATTTGCACTACCTAGATTGTTACAGCAGCAGTAGGGAACCAAAATGCTGCTTAATGTTTATATCTGTAATGATATTGTTTTATTTCAATATTAGCAATTTCTCTTTCTGGATGAATGTAACTCACCTGGGGCTATTCCTCTGTCCCATTCAGAGGACTTGGATGTTACTGGTATGTAGGGGACAGGTGCCGGGGAAGCTTCTAGCCACCCAATGAGTGTCACCTGTGTAGTGGAAGAGACTCAGAGGCAGATAGCAAAACCCCTGGATTATAAAGCTCAGTGGAGCCTCGTGAATGATGAATACATCAATATGCTTGGAGGAGGATGTACCATGATTCCAGGAAGGAGGGGAGGCATGCTCTGTGCTCCCTCCTAGACCTGCCTCTTTGCCCTAAAACTAAAGTTGTAAATCCAGCACTCTCCTGAGTTCTGGGAGCTATTGTAGCCAATTGCCAAGCCTGAGCAAACACATTTTTTTTTCTTCCTCTCAAGATTTGTTGAGAGTCCATAGTGAATTATAGGAAATCAGAGAGTTTTGGAAAGTCCGCACCCAGGGCAGGGCATGTAAAGTAAACGTTAGTTTATTATCCCCACAGAGTCTGGTTGAACAGGTGATGGAGCAAGGCCATGAGTGGGTTTGTGTGCTGAGTTTTGGCCCAGCTCTTGGATAGTATAAGTACAGCCTGAAGTCTTGATGAAATGACCCCTCCTCAGACACTATGTTCTCCTGCCATGATTCCTGCATCCTCCCCCCATTGTCATGCCAGAAGCAGGCCAACACAACTCTACAGCCCTGGTGGCTTTCAGTTTCTGTGCCTAGAAATGGTTGTGCTGTGAGAAGCTTACTTTCATTTTCATGTTCCTGGAAGTGGCGACTCTGCAGTGTTGTGGCTCCCTCCCTCTGTTGGCTGATCTTGTGAGGGCAGGACAGCAGTTAGGGATCAACCTCAGACTCTTCAAACACAGCTCAGCCCTCTCTGCAGTAGTCACACAAGTGCAGCACACTTGGATTTCCAAGTCCAATCTGCAGGTCTGTGTACGCTTGCTGTGGCTGATGCTGTGGGAAGCTCTTCACGGAACCCATTCTTGGCTTTTCCAGTGGGAAGGTTAGGAGCTCAATTCTGCCACCAGAAATCTCTTTTTCTCAAGGGAGCTGGTGAGTGAAAAGATATATATTTTTAATTAATACAGGTTTACCAATAGGACTATTGGCTGTAGGTCTGAGGGTGGAACAGCCTGCATGCCTGATGTGGTTGGGGTGCCATGGACTTATGTGGGAACAACAGACCTTGGCTGGAAACCCACTCCTCCATCAGCCTGGGAGCAGGCAGCTGCATAAATCTGGCATATAGTTGGACTGTTAGCCATCCCTTGGGGGAGCACCACCCATTGGAAGCGAAGTGCAGGCTCCCTAAAGTTAATTGCAGGAAGGCTAAACACAAACCGAGGACTATCTTGAGAATGCAAGGGAATAGAAAAGAAGCAATCCTTCAAATCAACGACAATCAAATGCCAGTCTTTAGGAATGGCCACAGGCACGGGCAAGCCAGGCTGCAGAGCCCCCATAGGCTGCATGGTCGCATTCACGGCCCTCAAGTCTTGTAGTAACCTCCATTTTCCTGATGATTTTTTAATTACAAATATGGGGGTATTCCAGGGGGACATGGAGGGGACCAAATGGCCCACCTCCAATTGTTCTTGAACTAGCTGATGAGCCGCCTGGAGTTTCTCTGCTGGTAAGGGCCACTGTTCCACCCATACAGGATCATCTGATAGCCATGTGATGGGTATGGGGGCTGGTGGTGCAACAGTGACCCTCATTAAAAATTGCAAAACCCTTCCTATCCCCTGGGGCCCTGGTATCCAAAGGGAGGGATGCCACCGGGCAAACCTCTCCCTGCTCTAGTTTATCTAGTCCCCTCCCCTGACTCCAGCCCATCCTTTGCATCATCTGGGGGGGCCCCGCTTTTGGACTTGGGTGCCTGGGTGGTGAGGACCACTCCCATTTCTCGTAGAAGGTCTCGTCCCCAGAGGTTGGTAGGGAGGCCAGACAAAATATATGGTTGAAAAAACCCTGTGTGGCCCTCAGAGTCTTGCCACTTTAGCATTCTGAGGCTTTTTTGTGGCACAGCCTGTCCTATTCCCTGGAGGGTCACCGTCCCTTCCTGCTTGGGCCAGGCAGGGGGCCAGAATTTGTCTGAGAGGGCAGAAATGTCCATGCCAGAATCTAAAACGCCTTTGAAGGACTTGCCTTTTATCTTTAATGTAAGCTGGGGGCGGTTCTCTATGGTGGCTACCCAAAATACTGCTGGGCCAGTACTTCCAAAACCTTGGTTGCCCCCTTTTTTTTTTTAATTTTTTGAGCCTCACAAGGAGCTGTAGGGAGGAGGAGTAACTGAGCAATCCATTCTCCTGCTGGGATGGCAACAACCCCACTGTCCACTGATGTCATTATTTTAATCTCTCCCTCGCTATCCTGGTCTAGAACCCCGGGGTGTACCTGGATGCCTCGAAGGATAGTACTGGATCATCCTAAGAGTAGTCCAACTGTGCCTAGGGGCAATGGCCCATGTACCCCAGTAGGGAGGGCCTGGATCCCCATCTCGGGTGTTTGGACTGCCTGGGTAGAGGGACCGATGTCCAATCCTGCACTCCCTGAAGTGGCCCTGAGGAGGTCTGAGAGATGAAGGGGTTGCTCTGGGGGAGGAAACGAATCTTGCTGCTGCTCACAGCAGGGGTCATTGCCCCAAACACATTGGCTTTTGGGCCCTGGGGTGGGGCCCTCTTCCAGTTTCCCTGATTATTATTAGCAGGAAGGAAATTGCCCCCCAAGTCAGTTCTAGAGTAGCAGTCAGTGGCCCAGTGATATCCCCTTTGGCAACGGGGGCATAAGCCAGGTCTCTTGAGACTAGTAGTACTATTTTGAGGGCACTCTCTACGGAAGTGTCCCTCCCTACCACAGCTGAAACATGTTTTTCTCCCTCCCTGATTAGGTCTTTCTTTTCCCACTTGGGGTGGAATAGCAGCAGCTAACACTTGGCCCTGAATGAAGTTACCATCAATGTCCCTACACATCCGGATGTAGTCATTTAGACTTTTGTTGCGGTGGGGGTGAAGAGCCTCCTTACAGTACTTATTTGCATTTTCAAATGCCATCTGCTTGATAACTGGCATCGCAGGCCCAATGCCCCCAAATATTCTCTCTGCTACCTGACTGAAGCAGTCTACAGTCTTGGAAAGGTTCGGAGGGTCCTTGAAGGACTTTGGACAGGTGATTCCCTCCTTCCTTGGAAGGCAATGCTTTCCAAGCATCTTGGGCCGCTGCTGCCACTTGGACATAGACAGCGATGTCATATTGCATTTGTGGCATATTGACCACTCCCAGTAAGCTTCTCCACATTTCTCTGGGGCTGTCCGGCCTGTGCGTTTCTTTTTTTTTTTTTTTTTTTGGTTTTACGAGACAGGGTTTCTCTGTATTGTTTTGGAGGCTGTCGGTCCAGCCCGGCCTCGAACTCACAGAGATCCGCCTGCCTCTGCCTCCCGAGTGCTGGGATTAAAGGCGTGCGCCACCACCACCCGGCTAACTTTTACATTTCAAATTAACCTGTACTTCTTACCTACACACTGCCATGTGGCAGTACCTTTTTTCCACACAGCAAGTTTGTCTTGCTTCTCTCTGTGTCTTCTCGAAATCCTGAGACTCCGCCTGTCTAGTTTGCTCTCTTCTTTTTGTCTGCAAGTCCTGCCTAACCTCTACCTGTCCAGCTATTGGCCAGTCAGTGTCTTTAATAAACCAATCACAGTGACGTATATTCACACAGTGTGAGGGAATATTCCACATCCCGTTTCTCTATGAGGTTTAGTATAAAGGATTTGTACCCCGTTCGTTATGTTCAGTATAAAGGATTTGTATCCCGTTCGCTGTGTTTAGTATAAAGGATTTGTACCCCGTTCGTTGTGTTTAGTACTGGACATGTAATTTCTTCTTGTTTCCTGTGCCATAAGTCTTCCATGACCTGAGAGGTCATGGTGTTAGGAATAAAGCTTGTGACATAACTTGGCGGATTCCGTGGCAGGTGAGGGTGACCGAGGTGGAGAACAAACATGCCAGGCAGACAGAGCTTAGTGAGAAGTTTTATTAGAAAGGGAAGGAGGGGGGAGAAGGAAAGAGAAAAGAGGTTAAGAGACACAGACAGAGAGAGGACAGAAGAGAAGAGAGAGATGGGAAAAGTCCTGTCTGCCCCAGGGGAACAGCAGGAAAGAGAGAGGGAAAGAGAGAGAGAGAGGGTAAGTGGGCAGGGTCTTTCTTTTTTTTTATTTTTATTTTTTTGTTTTTTTTCGAGACAGGGTTTCTCTGTATTGTTTTGGAGGCTGTCCTGGAACTCACTCTGTAGACCAGGCTGGCCTCGAACTCACAGAGATCCGCCTGCCTCTGCCTCCCAAGTGCTGGGATTACAGGGTCTTTCTTTTAAAGGGGTCCTTTGCACATGTGTACAGACTAGTAACCCATGGAACCCTGGGCTGACTAGGCTACTGCCTGAGTGCATTCTACCAGGTGACAGGGGCAGGCCAGCATAATGCCCGAGTCCTTACATATGGCCCTTCCAAAGTGACAGAGGGATCTTCTTGATAATGCCCTCTTCCCTCTTCAACCCCTACTCTTGTGTCATTCACACTATCTCTTTTACTTGTGGGACAGTCTACAGGGGTCAGTCACCCAGGTGACTATCTTCTGGGATGTGTTTGAACTTTCTACACAAGATAGAGCAAGGTGAGGAGTGGGCTCGGCTCAGGTGGACTGCCTCTTAGAAAATCCTATGAGAGGACTCAGTAGGTAAAGGCACTGGACACCAAGCATGATGACTTGATTTCAATCTCCAGGCGCTGCGTGGTGGAGGGAGAGAACCGACTCTCACAAGGCATTTTACCTCTGCTTGAGCACCCCACCCCCATACACACACAAAGTAAAGAAAATATAATTTAAAGGAATCTCATTAAATATCCCAGAGACTTCTCTTCTGTTCCCTGCCCCCCCTGGGGTTTTTTTTAATTAAGATTTTACTTTTTTTAGAGAAGTTTTAATTCCACAGAGAAATCAAGAGACAGGTAGTGACTTCTTCTTTTTTTTTTTTTTTTTTTTTTGGTTTTTCGAGACAGGGTTTCTCTGTGGCTTTGGAGGCTGTCCTGGAAATCGCTCTGTAGACCATGCTGGCCTCGAACTCACAGAGATCCACCTGCCTCTGCCTCCCGAGTAGGTAGTGACTTCTTAATAGACTGCTGTCCATGGTACATGCATGGTCTCTCCCACAGACTGCTTTTCTTGACACATGTATGATCTCCCCCTCAGACTGCTGCCCTGACATGTGCGTGGTCTCCCCCATAGACTGCTGTCCTACACGTGCATGGTCTCTCCCATAGACTGCTGTCCCTACACGTGCATGGTCTCCCCCATAGACTGCTGTCCTACACGTGCATGGTCTCCCCCATAGACTGCTGTCCCTACACATGCATGGTCTTCCCCATTACCAGCATCCCCACCAGAATAGTGAACTGTCAGTTATAGGTTGTGGTCAGACAAGGTTAAGAGACCATGTGAGAGTTGCTTCCAGTTCTTTTTTTTTTTTGGTTTTTCGAGGCAGGGTTTCTCTGTGGCTTTGGAGGCTGTCCTGGAACTCGATTGGTAGTCCAGCCTGGCCTCGAACTCACAGAGATCTGCCTGCCTCTGCCTCCCGAGTGCTGGGATTAAAGGCGTGCGCCACCAACGCCCGGCCATGCTTCCAGTTCTTATTCATCTAAGATTCATCTGAGCACACACCCTGTTATGGTGTCACATTGAGTATTTTCACTGCCCACGACCCTTTGTGTTGCCTTTTCACTGACTTGATTTTCTGATAACCGCTGTATCTGGAAGGTCACTCAGCATGTATGATATGCTGGGGAGGCTGGGGAGGCTGGGGAGGCTGGGGAGGCATGCAGACTTTGTGGGTGGCTTTTTTTTCCCCACTTAGTTTTTTTTTTTTTCTGTGTAGCTTTGGAGCCTGTCCTGGAACTAGCTCTTATAGACCAGGCTGGTCTCAAACTCACAGAGATCTGCCTGTCTCTGCTTCCCAAGTGCCAGGATTAAAGGTGTATGCCACCACCACCCAGCTCACTTAGTCTTTTCATGGTTTAACAGTCTTCTCTTACACTTCTGAATAGTAAATGGCCATCTTGGGAATTCCACATCTTATTAGTTCATTCACTTACTAAAGGCCATCCTGGCTTTTTCCAAGGTTTGTTATTATGAATAAACCCTCTAGAAACATCCACGTGCATGTTTTTGTGGGAGCAAACATGTAAATGTCAAGGAGCACACGTTGACTGTGTTTAGTGCTAAAGAAATTGCCATGCTGTCTTCCAAAGTGAGTGTTCCATTTTACTTTTTTATTTTTTACATTTTACTTTTGATGTTTTGAGACAGGGTCTCTCTATATAGTTCTGGATGCCTTGGAACTCACTGTAGACCAGGCTGGTCTTGAACTTAGAGGTCTCTGTCTCTGCCTCTCAAGTGCTGAGATTAAAGGTGGGTGCCACCACATCCAGCCTTTGGTTCATTTTTTTATGATGTTCTTTGTTCTTATTGCTCAATTTCAAGAGTTATTTCTATACTTTTAGGTCACAGTCTTTTATTGGATGGGACTTTGCAAGTATTTTTTTCTCAATCTGTGATTATCTTGTCAGTCCCATGGTAACATCTGTCTTTTATAGAGAAGTAGTGGGGTTTATTGCTAGGGTTTATTTTATTTTGATTTATGTATATGTGTGTTTGTCTTCATGTGGGTATGTGCATTTGAGTGCAGGTACCCTCAGAGACCAGAGGATCTCAGATCCCCTAGAGCTACAGTTATTGGTAGTTCTGAGCCACCTGATCTGCATATTGGGAAATGATCCCGTGTAAGAGCAGCAAGTGCTCTTAACTGCTGTCATCGCTCCAGTTGGACTCTATTTTACATTGCTCTGTTTGTTTACCCTTTCAGCAACCCCGCACTGTCTCATCACTTTATGGTAAGCCTTTATTTTTATGTGTATGTAGTTGAGGGGATCGAACCCAAGGCCAGGGGCAAGCCGAACAAACACTGTGCCTCTGTGTTACACTCTCCCTCTCCAGGACATCTTAAAGTCAGGAACTGTCACACCACAAACGGGCTGCAGTGTGGTGCCATTTCTCCTTTTGCTTATTAGATGGTATTGTGTCCAAACATTTTTTCAAAATAATAAAAATAAAACAAGATGAAGAATAATATAGGTTAAAAAGTTTGGGTTGATGGGCTGGAGAGATGGCTCAGAGCACTGACTGTTCTTCCAAAGGTCCTGAGTTCAATTCCCGGCAACCACATTGTGGCTCACATCCACCTTGAATAGGCTCTGATGCCCTCTGCTGGCATGCAGGCAGAAGATTACATAATAAATAAATAAACAAACAAATAAATAAAATATTTTTAAAAAGTTTGGGTTGAGAAATCAAGGAACAGTCGCTTGGGGAGGCAAAGTAGCCAACTCCTAGAAACAGAGCAGGGCAATGCTCCCAGTTCTAGTGGGTTTGGAGAGCAGCTTCTGCCCTAACAGCAGAGTTGAGCCCTTCTATACTTGCTAACCTTTGACCTTGTTTCCTACTTCTGCCTTCCCTCCAGTGTCTTTCGCTGCCACCATGGGTCAGTCTTCTTCCACAACCGATACAAATGCCCACAATATGGCCTCCAGCCTTAATGCATTTTTCAAAACTTTCAAGATGGAGAGTAAGGTCATTTCTGAGGAGATCATCAGTTCAATTCAGTCGTTTGTGCAGGAAGGGGACATACAGAAGACGATTTCTGCAATTAACGATGCTTTGGCAGCCATAGAGAATGCACCTCTGAGCATTGCAGTGACAGGGGAGACTGGGGCAGGGAAGTCAACTTTCATCAATGCCCTGCGGGGCATAGGACATGAAGAGAGCGAATCAGCTAAGAGTGGAGTGGTAGAGACAACAATGCAGAGAACGAAATACACCCACCCCAAGTTCCCTAATGTGACCATCTGGGATCTCCCTGGGGTCGGGTCAACTAAATTTAAACCAGAAAAATATCTGAAGGAAATGAAGTTCCAGGAGTATGACTTTTTTCTTATCATCTCAGCTACTCGCTTTAAAGAGAATGATGGCCAGCTGGCCAAAGCAATTGAAAAAATGAAGAAGAATTTCTATTTTGTTCGAACAAAAATTGATAGTGATTTGTGGAATCAGAAAAGATGTACACCCAAGACCTACGATGAGGAAAAACTCCTGGAGTCTATCCGAACAACATGTGTGGAGAAACTGCAGGAGGCCAAGGTCGCCTCCACTCGTGTCTTTTTAGTTTCTAGTGTTGAGGTAGCACAGTTTGATTTTCCCCGCCTGGAATCCACCCTTTTGAAGGAGCTGCCGGCACACAAGCGTCACATCTTCATGCAGTGCATCCCTAGCATGACTGAGGCTGCTATTGATCGCAGGAAAGATGTCCTGAGACAGAAGATCTGGCTGGAGGCTCTGAAGTTTGGAGCATCGGCCACCATCCCTATGATGTGTTTCTTCAAGGACGAGGTCCAGGAGTTGGAGAAGACCCTGATCCACTACAGATCTTGCTTTGGGCTGGATGACAAGTCTCTGGAAAACATAGCCAGGGATTTTTCCCTGCCTGTGGAAGAGCTTGAGTCCACCCTTAAGTCACCCCGTTTGCTGTCATGTGAGATGGATGAGTCTGTGGGGGATAAACTGATGAAATACCTGGAAAAAATATTTGCTGTCACTGGCGGATTCGTAGCCACTGGCCTTTACTTTAGAAAGAGTTACTACCTCCAAAATTATTTTCTTGATGTAGTGACTGATGATGCTAAAATTCTACTTAAGAAAAAAGTTTTCTTGGAGGAACATGAGGACTCTGAGGAAGGCTGTAAAGATGGGGAAAATAAGGCAGCTGGCCTGGGACTTAGCTGACTTTAATGCTTTCAAAACTCTGGAGACTGGGGCTGGAGAGATGGCTCAGAGGTTAAGAGCACTGGCTGCTCCCCCAGAGGTCCTGAGTTCAATTCCCAGCAACCACATCGTGGCTCACAACCATCTACAATTCAATCTAGTGCCTTCTTCTGGTGTGTTGACAGAACACTGTATATGTAATAAATAAATCTTTAAAAAAAAAGACTCTGGAGATTGGAAAGATGGCTTAGGGTGTTCCTGAAGTACCCTGGCCAAGCTGTAGTGACTTTTAGACAATGTCATAGTAAAACTAAGATTTAGTGGTCAACTCTGAAATACACTAAGGAAATTGTATAAAAAGAAGAAATCAATGTGCATGGTGTTTATTATCATAAAAGTATTTAGCTTACCCTGCATATAGAGATTGTACAGTAAAAACAGGTGAAGGGAGGTCTTTCTTTTCTTTCTTTCTTTCTTTCTTTCTTTCTTTCTTTCTTTCTTTCTTTCTTTCTTTCTTTCTTTCTGTGTGTATTTGAGACAGAGTTTCACTATGTAGCCCCGACTGTCCTAGAACTCACTATGCAGTCCAGAATGCCCTCAAATTCACAGAGCTGCCTCCACCTCTAAGTGCCGGAATCAAAGGTGAGTGCTGCCATCCTGACGGAGGGTTTTTTTCTTTATATGAAATTTCCTTCAATAATTTAGATTATTCAGTTACTTAAACAGCCCTCTGAATGAAAATAAAGGAGGAGGACATGACTGCTCCCAGGTATTGTGAAGGAGAAGGTTTATGTAGATGAAAAAGAGAGCATAGCCAGAGGCAGGGATGTCTGGGAGAGTCCAGAGTGAACGTAACCCCAAGCTGGGCCGTGTGAGGAGATGCGGAAGGGGAGAGGGGTGAGCCAAGAGACCAAGACAGGAGGGTAAAGGGTAGAGACAAAAGGGATGGGTAACCAAAAGGGCTGAGCTACATAGGGAGGCAGCTGGAGGAAGGGAAGCCCAGCCCCTGGGCTGGAGGAGTTTAGGGTAGGGGATGGGATATACAAGCCATACCATTTAACAGGTAGGGACTGTGGGATGCTGGGAGAACCTGGAAGCCAGGTCTGATCTGACATGTTAAACAGGCACCTCAGCTAGCCATTTGTCCTGGGTTTGAGAGCTAACACTACCCATGGAGAGTTCACTGTAAATCAACTGGGTTCATGACTCTGTCTGTTTTCCCCAGCAAATACTGTCTCTTGAGATCAGGATGGCCCCTCACCTTTAAGAACTCCCACCCCTGATGAATCCTAGCCCTGAGGACCCCAGCTCTGAGGATTTCACCAATAATCAATTTTGCAGAAGGAAAGACACAATTTAAATATTAGCATTTTGTAAAACTTAAAGAAAAAACTTACTTAGGTGTGTATCCATCAAGTCATGTACTTTGTATGTCAACTCTGCCTCAGTAAAGTCAGAGAAAAAGGAAATGGATATAGACTGGGATTCCTACCCTGTGTTAGCTTTCTGTTACTGTGACAGGGTGGGGTCTCAAGATGGGGTCCTCAGTAGCAGGGGTCCCCAGAGGTAAGGTTGTCTGGGGTGGGGTCACCACAACTGGCGGTCCTTAGGAGTGAGGCCACCAGGGATAGAGATCACCAGGGGTGGGAATCTCGGGGATGGTGGTTCTCAGGGCTGGGTGCTCAAGAGTGGAGTCCTTGCAGCTGGCATCCATCAGGGGTGGGAGTCCTTACAGGTGGTGTCCTCAAGGGTGAGGTCACCAGGGGTGGGGTTCTCAGATGTGGGGTACTCAGGGGTGGGAGTCCTTAGGGGTGAGGTCATAGTAATCACAACAGGCAGTATTTGCTTTCTGATTAGCTATGAAAAACATACAGAGTCATGGACCCAACAGTCTATAGTGAGCACTGGCTCCAAACACAAACCCTCTCTCTCCACGTGGAGCAAAAGAATTGAACTCAGGTCACCAATCTACAGCATTTTACCCTGAGTAATATCTCTGACCTTCAAAGGACTTTTTCATTAGCCAGAAAGAAAAAAACAAAAACAAAACTTTTGGCACCCAAGTGGGGGACCTGATCCAGCCTCTCACCAGCTGCAGCATTGGGGAAAGCAGGCTCTGCCCCTCCACTGGGCAGCACAGTAGAACTAACCTTGCTGATGGGGTGTGGGAGGCATGGGCACCAGTCCAAGAACGGGAGCATGGGAGATCTTGACATAAGGTGGTGTGGGCGAGGGAGAGATGCCCCCCTCACTGCCTGTGGCACTTGGAAGAGCTGACCCTGAGGTCATGAGAGTGGGAGAGTTGTGCCTGCCCCTCACCAGCTTGCAGCACTGAGCAGAGAGGCCCCTACACCTCATCTGGGCAACACAGTAGGAGCTGGCCCTGGTGGTGCAGGTGTGGGTGAGCTGGCCCTGAAGGTGTGAAAGCAGGAGAACCTGCACCCCCTTGCTCATGGCTGTTAGGGTGAACTAGCTAGTGTGGTGTTGGAGGACTCGCCCTTTAGCCACCTGCAACCACCCAGGCCCAGAACCAGGGCTGTGAGTTGGTCCACCCCAAAAATCTACCCCATTTATGAAGGGGCTGGTCCTGCAGAACCAATGCTATACAATCTCCACAACACAGGGAAACAACAGGATATCAAAGAGGAGTTCCAGTGAGGGCCCGGTGTTGACAGTGTAGCAGAAACCAGGGGCTTTGAACCAGACCAATGACTTTGCAATGAACACTTGCAAGTAAAGTTATATGGACTGAAGTGTATACTCTTGTAGTGACCAGCGCCTCCATTTCAGCAGCCATGACAGGCTAACATGTGCTTGCATGGCCTTGCAGCTCCTGTCCTGGTCACTAGGAGGTCAGATGCCCTTCTCGTGGCAAGGAACCAATCAGAAGTTAGCTGGCAGGGCTGTGGTTTACGGCTCTGGATGTGCTTTACGGACAAGTGCACAACACTGACATGCAGAGCATAGCAACCACCCTGGGAGGGCCTATGGGCCATAACAACCAGTTGACCAATCAACACAGGGCGGGTCACCCAGACCTGGAATAGCACCAATCCTGAGGCTGCTTCATGCCCCTAGACACTCCCCTCACGCTGCCCTTTAAGTTCTCTGCTTTGCCAGTTCTTGGGGGTCTTCCTCCAGCCATCTGTCATGGTGGAGGGATGAAGGGCCCGAGCTAATGGGTTTAGCTCGTTAAATAACTTCAATAAAAGACTCCTTGCTTTTGCATCGAAATGGGCCTCTCGGTGATTTTGAGGTTCAGAATTTGGGCACAACACTCTGTGATTCACTCTGTCACACTACAGCTACCACAACCAGATTTCTCTTTTTCGTCTTTTCCCCCTGTTTTCTTTTCTCTTTTTTTTTCTTCAGATTTTAGGACTTTTAATTAATTTGTCCTAAAGTCACTGAAGCAAAAAACATGATAAACATTCTTTTACAACCCCCAACGCAAAAAAAAAAAAAAAAACCCAAAACTATTTGTAGGAAAAAAAAATCTCTTGAAATGTCCTTAAAAGGCTCTGTCATTTAACAGGTAACAGTGTAAAACCCCAGAGTCCTTTCTTTAAAATGAAGTGGGAAAGACTGGGAAGGAATTATTCAAACTTTGTCTTCTTTCCTTGTGGCTTGAAGTCTCCTCCTCCTCCTCCTCCTCCTCCTCCTCCTCCTCCTCCTCCTCCTCCTCCTCCTCCTCGGCCACCTCGGAAGCCCCCTCGACCTCCAAAGCCTCCCCGGCCTCTGCCGCCAAATCCGCCTCTTCCTCCTCCTCTGCCACCACCTCGGCCCCCAAAACCTCCTCTGCCTCTACCTCGGCCACCGAAGCCACCTTCACCCTTAGGTTTGGCCCAGTCCAAAGTAACTTTGTTCCCATCAATCTCTCCATCTTCCATGGCCTCCTTGGCAGCTTTGGCATCTTCCTCACTATTGAAGTCTACAAAACCAAACCCTTTAGAGGAACCAGTTTCCCGATCAGTGACTATTCTTGCACGAACAGAGCCCTCAAATGATTCTTTTAAGGTTTCTTCAGTGGTATCCTCAGACAGACCCTTGACAAACAGGTTCACTCTACTACACAGGGGAGAAAGGACAAAGGCAAGAAAGAACTGGAAAGAATAGCACTTGGAGTGGTGAATCAAAAACTTTGGTTTTAAGTAACCTTTCCTACAGTGCAACAGAAGAAACTCTTCAGGAAGTGTTTGAGAAAGCAACTTTTATCAAAGTGCCCCAGAACCAACAGGGCAAATCTAAAGGGTATGCATTTATTGAATTTGCTTCATTTGAAGATGCTAAAGAAGCTTTAAACTCCTGTAATAAAATGGAAATTGAGGGCAGAACAATCAGGCTGGAGTTTTCTTTTCTCTTATATCTTATTTTATTTTGGTAAGGTTACAAGAACAGAGGTAAGATACAAATGGACAGGGAGATGACTGGGATAGGGTTGCAGGATCTGTAAGCCACAAAGAATAAATAGTTAAAAAAAAAAACCCTAACTGTGGGGACACCAGACCTTGAGCAGAAACCCACTTCCCCTTAGGCCTGGGAGCAGGCAACTGCGAGATAATGTTTACTAAAAATAATTCAGTGCCATAAAGCTCAGATAAGGGCTCGCTCACTGGAACACCATGACTTTGATCCCCCCTACGGCTAGATGTTCCTTCCTGCTCCCTGCGGTGTCTCCCAGATTCTGGGGCCAGAGATTAAACCACCAGCCAGGAGGGTGAGAAGGCTGGGAAGAATTGTTTGTAGATGGATGGCAGAAGTCCTTAAAAAGGGAAGTGTTTTTTCTTGGGGAGTTCTCCTAAGCTGACTTGGGAAGCATAACGTTTTCTTAAAGCAACGGACCGGTCTCTGTGTCATCTATCCCGACCACCTCGCTACATTCTCGGATGCAGGCTGCACAGCAGGTGTGACACCTAACCAAAACTTCTGGCACCAACTGGATCCACAGTTTTCCCAACGATAGTGGAAAATGTTGAGCCCCTTAAAGTGGCCCATGCAGCACAGGGCTCCACAACAAACACCCCACAGATATGCCCCCCCCAGAGGGCACACACTCCTGGGTCAACACTGAAAGCAGGGGAAGGGAGTAATGAGGTCCCTGGAGTGAGGCTGGAGAAAGGCCTGGAATAGCTCCTGGCTTGGGTCCCTATGTCAGGACAGAACTGGCTGGTTACTGAAACTCACAACCGCAAACATAAAAAATGAAACCAACCAGGCCAGCTTTGATATCTTGCTGGGCAGTGTAAGCATTTCCAGGAAAAGAAAACTGTTTTGGTGATTTTGCAACCCAGGCTCAGAGGATGACCTGAACTTGGGACTCTTAAGCACCTAGGCCTGCAGTAAAATGCATCCTGAGAATTTACAATCACAC